AGGAAATTTTTTGAGTAAAAACTGACAATTGACTCAAATTTTGTCTGTTGGCTCCAAAATAAGAGTTCATTTCCAGGAATATTGAAGAATACAAAAAAAAAAAGCGCATTTTGTGAAAACTGAACAATTTTTTTTTCTGCATCTTAATTTTCTGATCGATATATACATATATAGCACTAAATTGAAATTCAATGTGAAGCAATTTCCATAAAATCTTTCAGCAATGCAAACCCAAGAAAAAAATAATTTGTTTTCTATACAACCAGGTTCATCCCTTCAGAATTTATCCAACTATTTCACTCATGTTTCTATCTGAACATTAAATACTTCCGCCTCGGGTACACCAAAGAATTCAACAGCAAATGCATGATAGGATGTTTGTAGTGCCATACTGTAAAACAATTTATTTTCACTTGAAATTTATTTTTTGATATATCACTGAAGGGATGCTTCAGTGAAAGTAAAATCCAGTGAATATACATTTTTTTTTATATTTTACATACAACTCTTCAAAATCAGTGAAAATAAACTCCATGCAAAACAGCCGAAATGACATTTCATTGAAAATTAACTCCAGCTAAAAAATACTTTACAGTACCATAGCCAATAAATGGTATAACACATCAGGTTTTGAAAGCTGTAATATTCAGATTTCTACAAATTCTTTAATACAACCTTAAACAACAAACTTGTTAATTAAAAGCCTAGACAGCAGCAACATTTATATTACGAGGATACCTCAAAGTATGCACGAAGACAGTACAGCTGCAGTATCGACCGACGCGCAACACTGTCTGAGTGCATACTTTGCAGTATTCTTGTAATAACCTTATTATTATACATCTTTTCCTTCCAAGGATACATCACGGGAATGCCTAAATCCAAAATGTTTAGAACAGAATCAGCGAACTTCTTTGTGTGGAGTCCGGTCAAACTCTGGTGGCAGCCACGTTTGTTTTTATTTTTAGAGAATGCACATAAATCATTCCATAATTGGAATTCGTATTTCCTAATTTGGTAGGATGAAAATACCCAGTAAAATACTGCAAAATTATGGCACGCTGTAACATATGGCGTTACGATGACAGTTGTATAATAATAAATATATTATTTCCTAATCAGTAACATACAGTACTATAACCAGGAATATTCTCTTACCTTCAGGGCACAAAAGATACAGGAATTGCCCATGCAAGCATGGCCAGTTAATAATCTAAAACTTCTTCTAAAGACATCTAAATGCCATAAAACCTAAAAAATATAAATATGAATACTAATTCATGAGATACATGTGTAATAAATAGATTTATAACAGAATGGATTCATACTTGTTAGAAAACTGTACAGGTAATGATTGGATGACAAAAGCGGTTGTCTGGGGTAAACGAGACAAACCACCACCAAGGTTGATTCCTAAGAGGTATAAACTTTAAAAGCATCCCATCCTATAAGGTTATTACCTCACACAATGATACTGCGTACTGCCTGAGTGCATACATTGCACTATCCTCGTAATAACCGTATTATTATTAATTTTTTCCTCGCAGAATACATCATGGGAATGCCAAAATCCAAAACGTTTAGAACAGATTTAGCGAACTTCTTTGTCCGGTTGTGGGGTCCCTGGGGGCAGCCATGTTTGTTTTTTGTTATTAGAGGACGCTTACACAGGTAATCGTTCCATATTTGGAATTCACGTTTCCTAATATGGTAGGATAAAAAAAAACCTTATAGTGTGACAGATGTATAATAATAAACAATCATACTTAATGTAATATATTTTGTTAGTTGTAGATTGTGAAAACTTTCTGTTTCACTGGTATGAACTTACTGATTTAGACTGATCCATGTACACATGGGTATTCACACATCATATATACAACATGTAGTTCTACTCAGAAATAGATGAGTGCAAGGTCTAAATGCTTTGCTTAAACAATGTAGGTACTCCTAAATAAAGCTTTACTAGTAGGAGTACATGTATGACTTTAACATCTAGACAATTTGAGTTTTTGGACAAGATGAAATACTTATTTTTTTTAAAATAATAACAAATTGACAATTTTTCATCATATAAAGGACACCATTTACCGTTAACCTGTAAAACATACCAATCTCATTAAAACATTTGTAGCAATAATTTTTTTTATTTCAGTATTCATTAGTAAATGTACCCATTTTTATAAGCTTGATAGACTAATTGTAACTGATCTTCTTAATGGACGCCTACTGAGTCATATAGTGGAATTCAGTAATTGGAAACTCTTAACTGGTGTATCTATCATCTAGGCAAATGATATTAAGGCACATGTGACAGTAAAATTTCACACTAACTTTAGAATGAATATCAATTTTAATAACAAATATTGTCCTTAGAAGGAATGAGAAAAAAATTGACTCATACACGTTTATGTCATCCACTTGAACAACCCTGTATACATGTACAAGTACATGGACATTCAAACAAATCAAAGGCAGTAGATTAATATGTAAACATACATTTAATTCTTGTTTAAAATGTGATGTATAAAACAAAATTTAGTGGAAATGCATTTTCCCTTGTATTTTTTAAAACTGCAAAAAAAAGAATCTGATTAAAATCTGATATATTGTATGGCATGTATTTCTTCTCAAATAATTAGTACTATAATTTTTATTATTTTGTGACTCTGATGATGTTTTTTATTACTTATTTTGCATTACTTTAACAATCACCATCCTGTGGGCTTCTGCGATTACTAAAGCTTTAAACAAACTACCAGCAGATGAATAATTATTTAAACTGAATTAAAATAAAATATATGAAGAATAAATAAATACATATAGTGTATTTAAAAAAATTTAAATAAAAAAAAATAGTTAATAAAGCATAGCATAAACTAGGATCTTATTTTAATCAGATTGCTGCAAGACTTGAATTTCAGTGTTCAGTGGCACCAAATGTCAGGGCAAACACATCCAGAAGATGCCTTAGACTCATGGAAATTGTGAGGAAGATTTTTGAAGACATAAGTCAATAATCCCAAAAGACTGCCTCCATGGCATTCAATGATTTTTTACTACTGTAAAACCTGTATTAGAAACCGCGGCTTCTATTAAAATGGTACAATGCAACAGAGGGGATGCGGCTTCTAATAGAGCATCTACACATATGAGAAATGATGAATTTTTGGTTCTCAATTATTCAAAAAAATGGGTGCGACTTCTATTAGGGATGCGGCTTCTAATTCAGATTTTACGGTATTAAAATGTTCTCTCAAATAGAATAAATAGACACCCCCAAAAAATGATCCCATGGACTAAAAGATCACATTGCACACATACACATACGTACAGTACATAAATAGCTACACGTATGTATACTAACTGAATCACGATCACAACTTGGACTAAAAATCGCACGTAGCTTGAAGTAGAAAACTAAGTGCATGTTCATTCTACTATCAATCAGATCACGTTCACCATGATTTTCACACACATGTACATGTACCTCACTGAAATGAAACACTTCCATTTCTTTAAAACTACTTCAGTTCTGGAAATAGACGCAGCACTAATGTGGTAATCCGGGAATCCAAATGAATAATCCAATTGTGTTCAGACGGATTTAAAGCAGACTTTGTATCATGAGTATCTGACTAATCAGTTTATAAAGTAAGAACAAAAAACGTGCGAGTATGTTACCATTTACGTCAAGCTTATACATTGTATGACATTTGACCAGAAGGTGAAAGTCTAATGAACCATACGTGTATAAGGACAGACTGCCAATTAGCATAAATTGGCAGCAACAAATGTCAGCCTAATGTCTTACTACGATATTGAAGCTCTCATTGAAACACATGTTCAAAGTAAAAGTAGAAATATAGACATGCTGAATACCATATTGCTTAACAGGATGGTCGTCTTCAATTCAGAACAAGACTTTACCCCATTTGCATGAAAGTAAACATTACTAGTTTAAAACACCCAAGAAATGAGGGCGCATCACATTTGACTAGGGTAATATTTACAGCTATTTTAAAATCAGTTTGAGTTCATTTCAGCAATTGTTTATTTTGGGACAAAAATTTACAAAACAGTAGACTTCCAACATAAGGTGTACAAAGGTCAACGACCTGTTCAGCCTTATGCATGACCCCTAATAGTGACACATCCTTGTACTTTATGGGGGTATTGTTGTCCTATAATAGTTTTGAATTTGCTGTGTTGAACTGTTTTTGAACTTTTTCGAAATAGTCAATAAATTGTCATTTGTAGTCAGTTTTGGACCCCAAGAAAGTACCAGGATGCGTGACTTTTCAGGGGTCCTGTACACAGTAAACCAGGGTCCTAGCTTTATTTCCCTGAATAACAATACAATAACCATACAGCCTTTACACATACATGTACATAAATAGGAGACTAACCCATATGGCCACGGCTAATGAATGAACACATAAAATGGATAACCATATGGTATCTAGGGTATGGCTTATTTTTATACGAGAACATACCATTTGCAAAACAAAGAAAATTAGAAATACATAAATTTATGTAAACGACAGAGATTTGTCTATGGACAGAATAGCATTTGAATGATCAAATAAACAATAAATTTAATTGCTGATTTATGAGCATTGTTGTTAGAAATAATACAATACCAGGCCTTCAATTTCACTAAGACATCAAAAGCAACTGCCTCAATGTCCAAGAATTTTTCCTTGGTATGCTTTGAAAAATCAGACTTTTTCCCCATACTATTTTTAGATGCTAACCAATTTATCAATTTAAAGTTCAAGAGCTAGGGTACATCATGTAATAGAATTATAGAATTAGAATTATAGAATTATAGAGGCATGGAACACTACTCAATGAGAGAACATTGATGAAAGAGGGATGTATTCCACGGCTCAAAATTAACTGGCTGTCCAGTTTTAGAAATAGGATGTCCACCTGATTTAAGGAAGGCATGATCAAAAGTGATATGGCAAATAGTGCCCTCACAGTTCGATCCTAAACACACTGAAATCTTACAAAAAACAAGATTTGAACAAGATTACTGTACTCCTAGTTTTAATATGGTGTTGTTATTTTTTAGAAAAAGATGATTTTTACTGACATTCTCATGAAAATCTATTTGGAAGTGTTATTTTTCTTCAGCAATAAAATAGGTAATAATATTGGAACAGGAAACATGCATTATATTTTTGTTTTGTCCCAATGGTAACTAGTTTTTATATGTGGTTGTCCCATACCAAATAAGAGTGTTCGGGACAACCCTCAATTTCAAGCCCTGTATTGCATAGCCTGGAATCCAGCCATTCAGGGTGCCCTTCTCAACACTCAAGAATGGTCGGGTGAATCGCTATGTAAATATGTAGACGTCACATAATTCTGTGTCATCACCGATCGACTGTCTCCATTACATTACCATGGAAACTCGTATGCGCAGACTGTCTCATACAGTGTGTACATGTAAGGCCTGCCTGCCCACATGCTTTCAGACCGATTCCGATTCACTTGTCTATTATTCGTAGAGTTTTCCAAGTCTCATGATAATAGAAGCATCTCGTCTATTTATCCTTACAGAATCTAACCCATCCACAGAGTATGCATTCCTAATATATGTATAAAAACAAACGTACATAAGCCGAGTATATTTTGACAGTAAAGTGAAACTCACCTGTACGGCACTATTGAGGAAGCAATTATTTTCACCCGGTGCATTGAGAAGTCCCTTTGTATTAGTTATGGACATACTATTCCTAGGGTTGTAGTACTGACGTTGGAGACTTGATGAATCGTACCAAGTCGCCATCTTTGTTTTAAGCCGAGCTAAATTACTTGTAATGTGCAGCATAGGGCAGGTGGATCAAAATTGGACTCAAGAACTTACATCTTGGTGTCTTTTATTTAAAACCTGGAAGGGAAAGTGAGAACACATTATTACGATGACAGCTGTAATCTTGGTAGTCAGTGCCGTCGACACAAGGAAGATGGTGAAGAAAAATTAAAAATCACATGTGTTGCCTATGGCTTAAATAATGCCCAAAAATTTGTCTTGGTGCTTTTCGTAATATTCAGATATTCCCTTATACTAAAGGCAATTTTAACAATTTTTGCTTTGAAAATGCGCGTCCTCTCAACTCCACTAAGTTTCAGCTATGAAATGTATTTTTACTTGTATTGCAAATGCTCTTTATTTTCAATAAAATCTTTTCTATTCGCATTTACTGTAGCAAAGTATTAATGAAGAAGTTGAAATTTTCACTCAACATTCATCAATAAGTGCACTGTGGCATGATTTTTATATTAACTTTTTTTGAATGCTAGATATTTGTCCCCCAAAATTTAATGCAAAGATTTTCACATTTTGTCAAATTTTCAAAAATGTCATGATCATTTTGGACTGTTCTTACAGTTTAAGATATTGCCTTTAGTTTTTGATCAAACGTTTTATCAATTTATTTCAACATTTCATGCGCGAAGGAGCAGACTACAAATTCATTTTGTACACGTAGATGGTGCCAAAATGGTTAATGTGAGTACAACACTATTGTATTAAAGCAATCATTTCCACAGAGTTTCAATTTCCTTTTTTTAATTAATGTTTTCTAATATATTACTTACTCCAGTAATTCAATAAAAAAACCATAATGAATTCAATCATGTTTTAAAATGTGGTTGTAATTTTAATATTAATACCATATTTCACTGATATAAGCTGTCGCAAAATATTTTTTTTTTTAGTTTGGTTTAAATTGATATGCTGGATTAGCTTGCATACATTATTCTAATCATGTTCCACACGTACAATATTACTGTCTGTATACAGATACACTGCACTGATATGCTTGGCCACTTTATAATTCAGTGTGATTTAGAAGCAGCCAATTAAAACAACAACTGCAGATCCACTCGATTTTTACTTAGAATTCAATTTTACTATTTTGCACTGAACAGATTTTTGGCAAAAATAAAACCCACTTTTCCCGCTGATTGGCATGCAATTTATGCTAAAACTAGTGAAATAAATGATAAATCATTTAAAATAAATTAATTATACCAATACAGTGTTGAATTTCCAATGCTAGGATAACCTGTGCTGAGGGTCAACTCTGCAAACATATTTAATATGACATGCG